AAGATTAGAAGTAAACTGGGTCTGTTCAAGGGAGTTGATAACAATATGTTGTTCTCGTCGGAAGGAGCTTTTTTAAGAATGAAGCTGGAGATAGACTTAACAAAATCGCTACAAAAAGTTATCTTAGTCTTTAGGATGTGGTAGACGGAAGTATGAAAGACTACCAAATTTTTGCTACTTATGTGGGGTTACAGGTCACACAGATATGGAGTGTGAAACAAGCATAGAAAATAAAAAAAAAAAAACAAAAGGGAGTGACAGTATGGAGTTTGGTTGAGAGCTTTCCCCATCAAAAAGAGCGAGCTTTACTACAAAAAGGATAAGCATGAAAGAAGAGCGTAATCAAAACCATGCAAGGGACGTGGAAAAAGTTGGCAAGAGCAACTAGGCAAAACAATGAAACAATTAACATAAGGGTTGCTTTGGAGTTAGCTCAGAAGGTAGTTGTGGTGGAATTGCTATGATGTGGAAATCAGACTTGGACATCAAACTGGAAAGTTTCTCTAAAAGCCAGAAAGATGCCAAGGTAAGGGACAAAAACAACACAGATCCATAGAGAATCACGGGGTTTTATGGTGAATCGGATGCAAAACAGAGGCATGTGTCATAGGAGCTCCTAAAGGAATTGGCTAGACAAGATGATAGTGCATGGTTGTGCATGGGAGATTTTAATGAATTGACGTAAAGTGGTGAAAAGATAGGGCAGAATTTAAGGAGGGAGAACCAAATGCGAGATTGTAGAGATGCATTAGAAGAATGTAGACTGGACAACCTGGGATTTACGGGACAATGGTATAACTGGGAAAGATGAAAGACACCATAGACAAATATTAGAGAACGATTGGATAGAAGGTTTGGCAACAAGAAGTGGTGTGATGCTTTCCCTGACTATGAAGTAAGACACTTAACAAGCTCGGTTTCTTATCACTGCCTTATAATGATAAACACCCAAAGAGATGATCAAACCAAGGTTAAAAAGGGGAGGAAAAGAACGCAAAGGTTTGAGGCTATTTGGATAAAAGAATTGGGAGCTGAGGAAATAGTGTCCGAAACGTGGAGGAAGGAGTATTCGTATAAAAGCTGTGGGGGACAAATTGCTTGGGTGGCATAAATCTTTTATAGGAGATAACAAAAGGAGAATGCACGCATTAAAAGAAGAGCTCCAAATGTTGAATAATATGGCCCCCATGTATGAAAATCTTGAACGAAAATGCATGGTCAGGGATGAATTAAATACTTGCGTAAAGAGGGAAGAAATTTATTGAAGACAGAAGTCATAGATTAAATGGCTCTGCGAGGGAGGCAAGAGCACTAGCTTTTTTCACGCCTAAGCATTGATGAGGAGGCGTCAAAACAAAATACGGGGTTTAAAAAATTCAAATGGGACTTGGTATGAGGAGGAAGATCAAGTTAAACTTATAGCCACTGATTACTTCACAAAATTATTCCAGACTGATAACACTGACAACTTTGAGAATGTCCTTAAGGCTGTAGACCCATGCATCACTAATGACATGAACGAAAAGCTATTTGAAGGATTCAAAGCCAAGGAAATTAGCAATGCCTTGAGCCAAATGAATCCCAATAAATCACCTGGACCTGATGGTATGCCTGCACTTTTCTTTCAAAATTATTGGCATATTGTTGGGAAGTTACTAAATTTTGCTTGTCTGGTCTTAAGGGAGAATTAGACTTTAGAGATATCAACCACACCCACAATGTTCTGATTCCAAAAATAAAAGATCACAGGTCTATTACACAATTTAGGACTATTAGTTTGTGTAATGTAATTTACAAACTAATCTCAAAAGTATTGGTCATTAGGCTTAAAGATATTCTTCCTTATTGCATTAGTGAGGCTTAAAGTGCATTTGTTCCAGGTAAATTAATATCTGATAATACTCTTGTAGCTTATGAGCTAATTCACTATTTGAAGAATAAAAAACAAGGAAAGTTGGAATCTTTTACACTAAAATTGTTCATGAGTAAAGTGTATGATAGAGGAGTGGAACTTCCTAGCACAAATCATGAAAAGATTAGGTTTTCACCAAAATTGGATTAATACCATTATGAGATGTGCATATAGTGTTTCATACTCTATCATTATAAATGGTGATATCACTAACAAGTTCTCCCGAGGAAGAGGGCTTGCCAAAGAGACCCACTTTTTCCATATTTATTTCTACTATGTACAGAAGGGCTATCTGCACTACTAAGGAAATCCCAGATGCAGAGATCACTACATAGAGTCGGAATCAGCCAACATAGTCCCCAAGTTAGTCACTTATTCTTTTTAGATGATAGTCTTTTATTTGGACTAGCAAATACATGCAAAAGTGAGAAGATGATGCACATGCTAAAGAGATATGAAGAAAGCTCAAGCCAGAGGATAAATCTTGGTAAGTCGGCATCGTTTTTTAGCCCCAACACTGCATAAAGGCAAAGGGAGGAAATTAAAAACCAGTTAGGGGTTCCAAAAATGAAAATCTTGATAAATACCTGGGATTACCTATGATAGTAGGGAGACAAAAAAAAAAGGCCTTTAGAAAATTAAAGGATCAGCTAAGTGCGATAATGAATGGGAGAAGCCAAAGGATGCCATTGTTGGGAAGAAAGGAATTTTTCATCAAATCGGTCCTGCAATCAATTCCAGCTTATGCCATGGGATGCTTCTTGTTGCCACAAACGTTGTGTGATGAACTAAATCAATTGATCAGCAACTATTGGTGGAGAAATGACATAGGGAAAAAAAGGGATCCATTGGTAGAATTGGAGGAAAATGTGTTGGCCAAAGAATGAAGGTGACATGGGCTTCAGAGAAATAAGGGATTTTAACAAAGCAATGTTGGCTAAGCAGGGATGGAGACTCCTATCCACCTGTACACACTTGATCATAGAATCCTCAAGGCCAGGTATTTCCCGCGATGCAACTTCCTTGAAGCAGAACTTGGAGCTCGCCCTTGTTAACATGGCAAAGCGTCTAGTCAAGAAGGGCCGTTTTAAGCAAAGGACTAAGATGGCGAATCAAGAATAGGAAATCAACATATATATGGTCTAATCCTTGGCTCCCTTTTGCAGGTGATTTTCAACCTCAACAACCAATGAATAACAATGATCAAAGGGAACTTATAGCAGACCTAATTAACAAATAATGGTATAGGTGGAAATGAAATAGCTTGACGGACCGGCTTACACTAAAGGAAGCTAAGGTAATTAGTGAGATGCCATTAAGCAAGATGGACGAACTCGATAGATTAGTATGGCATTTTGACAACGAAGGGTTTTATACAGTGAAGAGTGGCTACAAGTTGTTGTGTAATCTCAGCAAAGAGGCGGAAGGAGATAAAGTAGAAATTGAAGAAGCCAGAAGAGGTAGGAAAGTTTGGCCGCTTACTTGGAAAAGTAACGTTCCCACAAAAATTAAAGCCCTGAACTGGAAAGTCAACGAAGGGTTTTTACCGATCATGGTGAACCTGAGGAGAAAACAAATTCCTGTCCATAGTACATGCACGAGGTGCGGCTTTGAAGAAGAGACTAATGCATGCAATGAGGGTTGTAACTGAGCAAATAAAGTGTGAGATAACCTAGACATGCAATGGAATGAAGAATGTAACCAACAAACTGATAGCCTAGACTTGATGACAGATGTGGCGACAAAGTTGACAGAAGATCAATTCACTCTTTTTTTTATTGGAACATGGACAATATAGAACGAAAAGAATCATGAAATTCATGGCGAGCAATAGAGGGATCGCAGGATGTCAGCGATTTTTGCAAAGGAATCTGGCAGAGTTAAAGAGAACCCAACAATAGAATCCATGTGAGCTATCACAGAAAATGAACAATTGGAGACCACCAGCAAATGAAAGCTACAAAGTCAATTTCACTGGGGCGGTTGAGAAGGCAAGGAAACGGGGAGAAGGGTTCTGATCAGAGATTGGGAAGGCAACATGATAGGAACTTGTCATGTCTGCTTAGCAGAAGTAACAAATGCATTTGCGGTTGAAGCCCATACAGCAGTTAAAGCTTTGAACTTTGCAGAATACTTAGGACTACAAAAGATAGAACTAGAAGGGGACTCACTCACTGTGATCAACAGGTTGAGGAAGAAGCATGACGACCTATCTCTAATTGTTAATCTGATAACTGAAACAAGTGAAACAATTATAAGGTATGTGGACTGCAGATTATCACATGTTCCTGGAGACAGAAATAAGGGTGCACACTACTTAGCGAAATAAAGGTTGGTAATAGTTGAGGAGAAATATTGGGTAGAGGAATGTCCTACTTTCTGTAATATATTGTGGACAGTGATATGAGTTCCGCAAATTTTAGAAATGAATGAAAAAATCTAAAAAAAAAAAAAAATCTATTGAACATCACTTATAAAATGATTACATAAATAAATTGAGTTAAATCTTGGCATTCAGTCAATATATATTTTACAATGGGATTTAACAAACTTATAAATACTTGACTTTGTGAAACGGGATTTCATGAAATTTATGAGGTCTTCCTTTAGAAATTATTAAATAAAAATTAAATTTGAAAATTGATCTATGAGAGACAAATTTTGGAATAAAGTGGAGAAATCAATTTCTTCCAAAACATCTTAAGGCCATTTGGTGAAATCAAGTGATTAACATCAACCCTCCATTAGAGCATGGATGAGAGTGCTTTCTGGTAAGCTCATCAAAAAATTTTGTCACTCATTAATAAATGGCAGCCATTAGTGTTATACAAATAACATATCTAAGAAAAGAGAACAATCAACTCCTAGATGCATGTTTATGTGAAGAAAGAAGCTTGGATTAAAATGCCAACGATCAGTGATTAAAATCAAAGCCGTGAAAGAGGTGCAGAGATTGTAAGCCGAACTCCCCTGCATCTCTCTGGACGAGGAAGAATCATATCCCTATTAAAATTATTTTTTAATTTTATATAATTCAATACACAATATCAAATCAATCAAGAAGATTTTTTGGGTAAAATTACTCGCAATTAATTCTAATAAATTACACAATTGTGCCTTGGTAGATTGCAGATACATAAAATTCCTATAACACCTGTATCAGAACAACATTATCATGTTGCAGGACATGAATCACTGAAATTCACATTCTTCTCACTCAACATCAAAGTAGGAAGTACCATAATTCCTTCCATTATCAAAGGTAATCTGAAAATTATCCACATTTCATGCAGAATGACAAAAGAACATGCATTCCCATTGGCTCATTTGTTCATACTACAGAATTCCAATATAGAGAGAATGCCTAAGTTGACTTCTTTGTGATAAAACTATATACCAGCCAAATATCCCACGTACAGGAGGACCCCTAATCTTTACAAGGCTGCAAGATAGCAATGTACACATATACTGCTTGCATTTCCCACAATCATGTCTTCATCACTGGGAAACCATGACGACAAATGTAACCAGGATAAATTTTGCTACAACCATTCATTCAGAGGTCCAATTCATCAGACCCTGGCAATGAAACTGGTCCTAGTGAATCAGCATCTACACTGGCAAGCATCTCGAAGTCCCTACTTGCATTTATCCATCTTACAGCAAGCACCAAGAAACAAACCACAACATCCTTCTCTATCTTTGAAAGCTCGTCACTTATGAAGACTGGTTTTGCACCAGGAACATATTGGTAATTCGACATTTTCCAAGCTGAGAGAAAAGCATTTCTGACTGGTCCACATCTCAAGAACACACCGTGTTGAGATATGTAGCGTACAACTCCTTGCAATACTTCTCCCTTGAAGGGCTTGAAGGTCCGACAAGTAAACACTACTGTGAAAACCATATTTCCTGACTCATCAATAACATCACATTTACCTATACTTCTCAAGCTAGTTACAGCTAGAAAGTAACCATGATCCTCACTGGCTTTCTCCTTAAACAGGTCCTTGAGTAGGCATGCTAGTACGGACGTCTGTGAAACCAGTCCATTTTTATTCAAGTTTCTAGCATGTAGCTTCACATTCCTTTGCAATTCCACTTCAAAAAACATATCTTGTATCAACTTCAGAAAGACAAAGAAAAGCAGAATCAATAGAAAGGTGTCACAACAGATTAAACATCTGCTACTAGAAAAGCACTTCTAAGACTCAATGATCAAAACAGACAAAAATCAAATGAGATACCAGGTAAATCAAATAATTACAATTAATGTTGAAAAAAGAATTAATGGAAACGTTACAAAGAAAATAACTCAGGCCAATTGACAAAAGGCACAGCTGTTAGGCCACATAATAATATTCTTAAGAAAGGTGGTCTAAATTTCGAGAAATGTAAACTAGATTATGCTAGCACCTCTACTAACAATGACATCAACATCCTCTGCCCCTCCCACCAAGCATCATACATGTGACCCAAGTAGCATGAAAATTCACATATGCAACAAGATTATAATTCTATAGAGAAGCTTGATTTTTCCAAAGGAAGCCCTTTCATTTGATGATGAAATAGGGCATTTCTCGCACACATACATGATATACAAAGGTCATAAGCATGCCCCCTATGCTTTTTCTTTTTTCTTATAACTATTGTGTTGTTTTGGCAAGAACAACTCCTTGCAATTCTTCTGCCAGAAGGGTATGAAGATGTGAGAACACAGAATCACACATCTATATTCACCCATGACCCATCCTTTGGCTTAGAATTAGACATCGAGCAATTTAATACAGGAAAGTAGTCATTACCATTGCTGGATTTCTTTCTGAAGCAGTGCACCAGTAGGCATGCTTCAATACCTCCAAAAAAACCAGCCCATTTTTATCCAAGATTTTAGCATGCAGTGGAAGATCACTTGATGATTCATTCCACTTTCATAAACATCTTTATCTATACTTCAACAAGCCCAAGATAAGCAGTACCAATAAAAGGACATCATTATAGATCAATCAGCCTGTTTCACAAGTGTATCTTCCAAATGATTAAAAGGTACATGAATCAGCCAAAGCTCATGCCATAAAATCATGTCAATCAGATGAAAGTTAAACATTGAACAAAAAAGGGATTAAATATTTTAGATCAAAAAATGAAGCAACCAAAGTCCGACGAAGAGACATCAGCAATTTTGGCAATGACATTGGTGGAAGGATGTAAAAAGGGCCATTGCGTGAATTCCCTGCCTATACAAGATTCCATAGGATCACCCATTTAAACACTTCAGAAAGCTCTACAAATAATTCCACCTCAGCAAAATGAATCATGATCTCTGTTTTTCATCTTATCTCTAGTAAGAGATAAACCTGGTGGAAGGTTAGTTCAAAAGACAGCTAACTAAAAATTTCCACGAATCAAACTAAATGGTAGCATCCTCCAAGCAATTATTATCAACTAACCTCTTCCAACTCCACCTCTTCTCTTATCTAAATACATTATTATTATTTACCTCACATAATTCAAATGTCGCTTCATATTACAGCACTGCCAGAAACAACGACAGTTCCAGGGTAAGCCATGTTATGATAATAAAGGGTGACACTGTCAAACCATTGCAAACTTGGTGGTTTCAGACCAACAATTTTTACAGGAAATTCGGGATTCTCTTTCCATCTTGATGCTAAAACAGCGAACTTCAATTCTTTAAACTTGGACCAAATAAGTTTTAGATTTTCATTGTTCTATTGCACCAAATAAAACAATTAACACTTAAAAATCACATAATTAATTCAATTTCAATTGCTTCCGAGTGTTACTCAAAACACCCAAAATTTCCAATAATAAACCCCCAACAAATTCATAATACAAAAACAAAATACAGTATTTCAGGAAAAAATAAATAAATTATCTATTAAAATTTTGGATAATGGGTTTTAAGAGAACGAACCTCGGTATCTGAAACCGCAAATAAGCTTTTTCTTCCTTTTTTTTTTTTCCTGTTTCCTGGCTGCCAAACAATTGTTTCTCTGCGCAGAAATCAGGAAACCAAAACGTCCTGCGCAGGGTCGCTATTTTCAATTATGGTTTGATAAAATGCGCAGGCTTTTCTGAGATTTGTTTGGTTGGGTTGGCTTTCTAAAACCCAACCGGTAGTAGTAGCTCACTCGGCTTTTCCCGAACAAAGCTTGGAACCAATATTTTTTATCTTTTATTTTGTAATTAAAATGGATAGAAAGGTTTTTTTTTTTAAGTTATATACGTGATCAAATATTATATTATAGAATTAATTATTATATTATAATAAAATTAAAATTATTAAATAATTAATAAATAAATCATAAAATAACTAAATTATTAAACACACACAATAATATTTTAACTTAAAATTTTAAGATTATATAAAACATTAGCTATGTATTTAAATCCAAAACAACCAAATCCATTTGCATTAAAATGGATGGAAAGTTAAAAAATTAATAGATTTTGTATTTGAAAAATTATCTTATACATTATCGTGTTAAATTTTTTAACTTTATCTAAAATTAAAAAAGTTTTTATAAGGATATATTTTAAGTAAATTAATATAATAAATAAAATATTTTAATATTTTAATTTCACTTGTAAAAATTTTAAAAATTTATGATAATGTATAAAATAATAATCCTATAATATTTGGTTATATTATCATTTATTTGAATGATGTTTTATTTAAACTATATTTTTATTTTTCAAAAATTATTACAAAGTGAAAATTAAAAACAAAATCGTATTTCATAATTGTTATATAAAATATAATTTTGTATTATGCAAAGTATTTGTTATGTATTTAAATTTAAATTTTTATTTTTTAAAACTAAGAAATAATAAGCACAAAAATATAAAAATGATTTCATACTAATAATAAACTTTTTATGTTCTCCAAACTCCAAATAGAACTTTGTATTTTTAAAGTATTAATTACACATTTAAACCTATATTTTTCATTTTAATTTTCAAAATTGACACAAAAATCTTTAAATTATTTCGTTATATTATTAGTTTTATTGTAATTGTGATATCATACTGTTAAAAGGAGTTTTTTTTAATGTTATTCTGTTATAGGAAAACTCCAAACCATGTTTGGAGTGCAAATAACATGCGGCCAAACAGGCGTCGGATATTTCTTCCCAGCCATGGATAATGTAAGCCCAGGAAACTACTATGAAATCCATTATCCATAGCCTTTAAAGTCTAAACCCTCCCAAAAACCCTTTGTTAAATTACCAGTCTCTCTGTTCCTCTGATTCTTTTATATGTTCTTTGTTCATCTAATCAATGACTCTATTACCCACTCGCCAATTCCATCCAACAACAACAACAAAAACGACCTTCTTAGATTCATTTCAAGCCTCTCTCTCGAAGACCCATGGCCACCCTCTCCCTTTTTTCAGGTACAATTCATCAAATTTCCCTCTCAAAACCTTTGCTTTTTGTGCAACTAATCGTACCATCACTTCAAACTTACAATTTCACCAATACCCAGCAAGCAAAACCAAAGCTTTTCCCTCCAAGGATTCCACCTTTAGAAGTAATTGGTTAGATAATTGGAACAAAACCCACAAAAGAAATGGGCCTAAACCACCCAAAACAGTGTTCAATTATAGAAAAAATGGGAATTTATGGAGCTTGTCTTATTCAAAGAGTGAAAATAATGGGAGTAGTACAATGGAGAAAATAGTGGAGAAATTGAAGAAGTTTGGATACATTGGAGAGGAAAATGAGCAGAAAGAAGAGGGTGAGAAACAGCCAAGGAGAGTGATTGAAAAAGGGTCTATAGAAGATATTTTTTATGTTGAAGAAGGAATGTTACCAAATACTAGAGGTGGGTTTTCAAAGGAGTCACCTTTGGGGATGGAAACTGTATTTGGAAGTGATGGGGAAGTTAAGTTTCCGTGGGAAAAGAGAAAGGAGGAGGAGGAGGAGGAGAAGGAAGAAGGGAGGTGGACAGCAAGAAGAGATAGTAAAACTTCATTGGCAGAATTGACTCTGCCTGAGTCTGAACTTAGGAGGTTAAAGAACTTGACGTTTCGGACGAAGAGTAAGATGAGAATTAAGGGTTCTGGTGTTACTCAAGAGGTGGTGGATACAATTCATGAGAAATGGAAGACAATGGAGATTGTGAGTTTAAAGATTGAGGGAGCACCTGCTCTTAATATGAAAAGGATGCATGAGATATTGGAGGTTTGCTTCTGATGAACTTTCATTTTTGTTGTTTAGTTTCGTTTTGAAATTTGTAAAAAGTTCTTAAACTTTTCCTTGGAAAGTAGAAATAACAGAAGAGTAGAATAGATCAAATTGTTAAGTAAGAATATGAAATTAAGTATATATTTTGAGTCCTCGCCAACATTTGAATCTTGACTTTAATCTCTTTGAGAATATAAATATAATTTCTAAATTTGATGTTTACTTCATAGTTATGCTGGTTGGGCAATGGGCAGTGATATGATGTACCTGTTTGACTGTTGTACAAAAAGGAAGGAAGTATAAATAACAGTATAATTTTAGGGGACAATAGTATGTAAGAATGTTATAATTCGATTTGTCAATCTCTATGAAAAGTTAGTTATCTATCTTTTGCTTATTTGGCTTTTCCATCATCTTTTTTGTGCAGAGAAAAACTGGAGGATTGGTAATTTGGAGGTCAGGGACTTCTGTTTCTTTATATAGAGGTGTGAGTTATGAGGTTCCTTCAGTGCACCTAAACAAACAAATATATAAGAGAAATGAGGTGTCAACATATTCCTCACCAGCAGTGTCTGATAAAACTAAGGATCCTTCTGACTTGGTTTCTCATAAAGATGTGGCTCCACCTCAAGCAAACTCTGAAACTGCTGCTGAGGAGCATAAAATTACAGCATCATTGCCAGAAATAAAGTACGAGGATGAAGTAGACAAGCTGTTAGAAGGCCTGGGTCCTAGGTACACAGATTGGGCAGGATGTAATCCATTACCAGTTGATGCAGATTTGCTTCCTGGAATAGTTCCTGGGTATCAGCCTCCATTTAGAGTACTTCCTTATGGAGTAAGATCTTCTCTTGGAGTAAAGGAAGCAACATCTTTGAGGAGACTTGCCAGAGTTCTTCCTCCACACTTTGCTCTCGGTATGCTACATTTCTTGTGTCACTGCATATCATCTAAAGATTGTTCCTTTGAATGTCTATGAAGTATACATCTCAAGTAGAAAGTAGGCACTCCAAGGTCTGGGCTTTTTGGCCGTGATTAAATTGTGGGAAAAGAGTTTTTCTATTGCAAAGATTGCACTCAAACGAGGAGTGCAACTGCTACTAGTGAGAGAATGGCTGAAGATCAGTATTAAATCTAACTTTTTTATTTGTTGGTTGTTATCTTTATCTCAACTAGTATCTGATACTTCCTATCTGTTTTGTCTGTCTATGTACCCTGAGCTTTGAAATTTTATAAGGAAAACAGCTTGGCTTTTGGATACTTAAAGAATAATGTGCTTATTCATGGCCAAAAGAATGACACCTTAATGTATTTTGTTTCTTTTCATGCACATAACCTGTGTTGGAGTGGTACTACCTATATGTTAGTGGACTTTGTCAACTGTCCCTGCTCTCATCTTATTGTCAATTGCCTTCTGTTGTTTGGAATTTAGTTCTTGAAATATATGCAATTGGACCCATGAGGAATAAGTTAAATCAACTTAAATATGAAATAAGCATAACATATCAGTTTTATGTGCCATAAGAATTCGGCATTCCTTCAATAATTGGTTAAGTGATTCAACTAAAACATACAACTTGATCAAACTTCACAAATTCTTCTGTTCTGGCTTTCTTTATCTGATTTTAAGAATATACGGGGATAGACTGTTGCCTGATTAAGTATTACGGTTTTTTCATTTAATATATTTAGAAGAAAACAAATCCTGGTAACTATTGGTGATGTGGACACTTAATGGCATTCATATCAGTTATATTTGATAAACATGTTAAGTTCAACTATTTGGATTCTTAAAATATCATATTGAAATGTTAATAACGTAATTCTGTTGATTGGCTGTAGAAATTGACAGGGGGCATACTTCTCTCTAGGAACAAGGACTTCTTGGTTTTCTACAGGGGAAAGAACTTTTTGTCATCAGATGTTGCTGAAGCATTATTGGAAAGGGAAAGATTGGCAAAGTCCCTGCAAGATGAGGAGGAGCAGGCACGGTTAAGAGCGTCAGCTTTGTTTGTACCAAGCACTGAAGTAACTGAGCAATCAGAGGCTGCAGGTACCCTTGGAGAAACTTTGGATGCAGATGCTAAATGGGGGAAGAGGTTGGATGATCATTACAAGCAAAAAGTGATGAAGGAAGCAGAAATCTTGAGGCATTCCAATCTAGTCAGGAAACTTGAAAAGAACCTAGCTTTTGTGAGTTCATTGAGTCTTCAGTCACTATGTTTTCATGCATTATTTCTTAGTTTTATACGCTGAATGCTGACATTGCCTTTAATTTGTATATTTAGATGATAAATTGGTTTAAATGAGGAATTTTTGCATTTCAGGCTGAGCGAAAGCTATTGAAAGCTGAGCGAGCTTTATCTAAGGTTGAGGATTATTTGAAACCAGCCAAACAGGCAGGCAGATCCAGAAAGCATAACTGATGAGGAAAGGTTTATGTTTCGCAAGCTCGGGTTGAGGATGAAAGCTTTTCTACTTCTTGGTATCTCTCATTCTACAACAGTTATCACAGTGTTCCTTTTTATAATTTGAGATTTTTATGCGAGTTTAATTTCTTGCTTCAGGTAGACGTGGAGTTTTTGATGGCACCATAGAAAACATGCACTTACACTGGAAATACAGGGAGTTGGTTAAGATCATCATGAAGGCTAAAACTATCGATCAGGTAAAAAAGGTTGCAATAGCGCTTGAAGCTGAAAGCGGTGGAGTTTTGGTTTCAGTTGATAGAATCTCCAAAGGATATGCCATAATTGTTTACCGAGGAAAGGATTATGAGCGACCTTCTACAATAAGGCCAAGGAATCTTTTGACAAAGAGGAGGGCTTTGGCACGTTCAATTGAGCTTCAAAGACACGAGGTATCTCTCAGAAACTCCTTCCTTGGCAAATATGTAACTACGTAGCATGTCCCTTGTACTCTTGATATTCCACCTTTAATGTCAAACTCCTTAGTTCTCCTTACAAAATTGCTGACACTCTGAAACGACTCTTGTTTCTACTTATTCTGTTTGACAGGCCCTCATAAAGCATATTTCAGCTCTGCAGGCTAAAGTGGAGAAAATAAGATCTGAAATAGTATGGTTTTCTTATTTTATATATTAGCTCTTGCTGTTCTTTTGTTGGCCAGTGTGGCCAAGAATATAAATGCATTAACTTGTCATGCTCTTTGATAGGATCAAATGCACAGCATGGAAGACCAAGGGGACGAGAAGTTTTATGACAGATTAGATTCTTCATATCCTACTGATGATGATGAAACAGAGGTCAATTATTTTCTCTCTCTAGATCTGCTTCCACTTGATGTAAGATAGTTGATGTAATGTTTTGTTTCTTTTAATTTTTCTGCCTTCTACAGGAGGAAGGAGATGAGGCATATCTTGGGACATATGACAGTGAAAATGATGGTGAAGAAGAAAATGATGAGTTGATTCACAATCTCCACTTGGAAACAAATTTTCCTTTCCACAACCAACATCAGGAGTCAGGAACAGAATCTGATGTTCCATGAGCACTTGCATACACATTTTTAAATCAAGCAATGGAACTGATGAAGTAGAGAAAGCAGATGATGGATTAAATGACTGGGAAGTGGCAGAAGATCAATGATCAGCAATACTGGAAATGCAAGACAATGATATCTTAGGCCTTATTTGACCATGTACAAATCTTTCTGGCATGTCATGTTATTGAAAACATATGCAAGACCAGGCAAGTTAAGTAGTGCCCTGATCTCCCACAGCCATGTTAATTTAGAATTTCCTTTTCATATAGCAGATAAAGTTGTTTATCATTATCTGCGGGAAGTTCTCAGGGCTCAAAATTTTACACTATATTGATTTTTTTTTTTTGCATTTGAGATAATAACTCTTATCATTGAGACTGAAATGTCAACACTCTACTAATAGAAGAATTTAGGAGTTCAGTATTTTATCAATAGATTATATGATTGTTAATACTATATTGATTATTGATAGCCGCGGACCAGTTGCATATCAAGGTTCCAAGACTGGCATCCAATGAACTCGATTTTTCTATTGATTGTGTTGTTGTAACTTATAGTGAGAATCCAAGAAATTATTGATGAATTCTTGCTACTTTCCAGCAAAGGTAAATGGAAGAATAAGTTATACAGAAAAAAGTGAAAAAAAAAAAAAAAAGGGGAAATGTATAAATAATTGTTCTTTCAAGAAACAAACTAGAAACAAGGCAAGAGAAAAAAAGACAGAGAAATAAACTAGAAACAAAAGGACCATAAGTCAAGCGTGGTCAGCTTATCTTGTCCAATTCGGTGTTGCAGAATCAGCCAAAGATAATTTTCTAAAAAAAAACTTCAAAAAACCTTGTATGAGGTAAATCGGTTAATTTTAGATGCAACACCAAAGTAATAAAAAATATAATCTAAAATTTTTAATAAAATTATAATAGATTTAATTAAAATAAAAAATATTTTATATTTTTAACATAAATTATAATATAATAATTTATATTTTATATATATTTAATATGAAAGAAACATTAAGATGTTCGATACACAAGTGAGTTCGGACAACAACCTGATCCTGAGAACTTGATCTATACACCGAGGCTTAGTATTATATTGTTTCATTTATGTAAATAAATATGATTGGGTCCCACTCCCATTCAGCCAGTTTCCGTGTGGGCTAACGGAGAGCCGAAAAAAAAAACAAAAGAAAGAAAGACGCATCCCAGTTTCAACCAAAACCCATTGACAATTTTGTGTACTCTTTGACCAAGGACAATTCGCCATAAAAATAATGAAGTGAACATATTTTGACCACGTTTCTAATGCGCCTTAAATGAGTTTCCAACTCAGAGAAATCAAGCAATCCATGACTCAGGAAGATCGTTATATATAAACGTTTGAAATCGAAAATTTGAAAAATTCCCGGTAAAGCAAAAGAAGGGGGCCATGGATCAATTGATAGAGCAACTTTTACAGGGTGAAATCTTCTGGTATGAAACTACACATGCTCCACCTGTTAGCCCAAGTGCTTTTGTGCCATATCCAAATAGACCCAGAATTGGAATGGGGTTGCAGACAGCTGATTGTAACAATGGAGTGAATTCTGGGAACATGAACAAGAGAATGATTGAATTCTTGAGGCAGAGTTGGCCTACAACGACAGGAATCAAAGACACCGAGAAAGAGAGGTGTTTCCGTCACATGATGAATGAGAGAATGAGAAGAGACAAGCAGAAAAAAAGCTACTTTGCCTTGCATTCTATGCTCCCTCTTGGCACCAAGGTTGGTATTTTTTGTTTTGTATAATTTCTAATTAAGTTGTGTTCACTGAGCATTTTCTTTGATCTTTCCTGGTAGAATGATAAGAACTCAATAGTTCAAACGGCAAGTAAGAGAGTTCAAGAGCTGCAATGGCTGAAGAAGGATTTGGAGAGGAGAAACTACGAGCTGCGGGCAAATTTTGCGGCGGTGAATGAGAACCAAAACAATGAAGGAACCAAGATTAGTGTAAGGATAGACAATCCAAAAGTATCTGGGATTGATTCCATATTGGAGGTTTTGAAATGCTTGAAGACATTGGATTCAAAACCCAGAATGATCCAGTCGAAGTTTACTAATCAAGAATTCTTTGCAGTGATGGATATTGAAAATGAGGTTTGCCCTGTTTTTGCTTAATATGGACTCAGCCTGCTCATGTAAAATACCATACATTTTAGCCCTAGTACAATTTCTAAACAAATAGTTAGTATTAATTTTGAACATAATTTTAAACATCTCCAAGCAATTAAACATTGGGATAATATCAAATATCAATACCTACAATCCATTTTCTATGTTTGGACCTCTTTTGTACAAAAGAAATTTAATACCAGCACTATAATGAATATTTTTATGTGTATGTTTCCAAAATATTGATATATCAATTGTAGTATTAAAATCTCATAAAGTTATGAAATAATGTTTTAATATAGTGCTACTATTAATACTAATCCTAGTCATTTGTCCTCTTTTTTGACAGATGAGAGCTGCCCAAGTGGAAAAGGTTGTAAATAGAGCATTGCAGGAAGCTGGGAGGAAACTTCAGGATACACCAAAGGAAAATCAAACGTGGCACCAAAGAAGATAGAAAACAGCATTAGGTCAATTGACCATAAACATAATGAAATTGTAGTCGTAACAATTACTAAAACGTGGGAAATATGGGTGAATTTAGTTTCTAATCACTGGGCTTGAATTCTTCTTTATTTCAAATAATTCTCAGTACCTTCTGAATTTGAATGGACTTAATTTTGCTTGAGATTCTGATGGAAGCTGACGTAAGAGCAGAGATCATCTGCACTCTAGAATTGAAGTAGTTGTTTTTGTTTTAATGGGTTTTGGAAAAAATGGGTCGCATGACGTAGACAGTTGAAAAATGCGCGAGAGATTAGAAAGCCTAGCTCAACTATTACTACTATTGTAATGTTTTGATCTCTTCAATCGATTGCGGCTGTTCAAAAAACTCATCCTGCAACCCGCCGAGAGAGAAGTTTTTGTGTTCAACAAAATTGACTGTCTGTAAGCCATTATGTTGACAGTTGACAAATGTCGCCAATAATAATAGAACTAACAAGCCGTTGAGACATACCAGTTGTCTAGGTTTTCAGATGTGCTGTTTTGTTTTCCGCTTAGTTGGAAACTTGTTCGCCCCAAAAGGGGTAACTGGCTAAATCTGTTCTTACCATCCTTTTGAAGGCTTCTAATGAATAAAGAAGGTAGCCTGCATGACAATAATTCCAACAAATATAATCTGAAATACCAAGCATTAAATTGCCTGCTACTTTATTATCTTTGGTTACAAGAAAATGAGGGGGAAAAAATTGATGGATTTAAATTTTTCAAAACAATCATATTGATTTAATAAAATAAAAATATATTTATTATATCAAAATAAATTATCACACGATAACTTATTTGATATATAATTAAATAGAAAAATAATGCAAATACAGGACCCAATGTATTCGAATTGTCAGCTAAGATGGACCGGTGACAAAGGAATAATTGTGAACTGCCACAGGTCAAGTCGTCGACCATGGTTTGATCAAAGGATAATCAATTTCAGCTGTCATGCATAAATAAGTGCGACCGTAGCTCAACTTCAGATGTCAGTAAATTGGAAAAAGCTTAACTCTCCAGTAAAATGA